AGTAAGGAATCGGCCCCACCCAGAAGGAAGTATGATTCAAGGGACCGTGGGTGAGGAGATTGGTAATTTTGTAGCCGACTATATAGCCGTTGTTGAACCTATTGGTCTTCCTACTTCTCGACATGAAGGGAGACTTGATGGTCATGGAATTATCGGGTCGAAACGAATGTCACCTGACCGAGATAAGTTCTTACAAGCACACCTATATGTGCTGCACCATGTTGCAGATGTTCACCCATATTTAAACGAGCACATAGCTAGTTTGCGTGATGAATTTCCATCGAAAGGTGATGTTGCATAATAAGAGGTTTGTGAGTTGGTTTTGTGATCGAGTGATGGGTAGAATGGATGAGAGTGTCACTGATACAGTAAGGTGGCTTGCTTATGGTCTTAAGGATGATGTTCGCTCATTTGAGGGATATGACATAAATGGGTACACTTTTTGGACTGAGCGTCAGGATTTGAAATCTTCCTCTACCCAAAACAGTGGTATACCACCCTGACATGTTGTACTATGTTGAAAGGATTATCAATGAATTAGTGCGTGCGAGAGACAAGTTCATATTCAACCCATGTTATGAGGAGTACGTCTAACCATGTCAAATTCATTTGTTTCCCCTGATTATATGTTAACTCCTAATTATTGATTTGTTTGTCTATTGTGAATTTACGTAGTTTGCATTGGACCTTGCTGGTGATTTGTGTTTCCAATAACACAATTTTCCTATTTGATTCAGCTCGATTGCCTCATCCAAAAAAGCTCCTCTACAAAAGTAAATATAGCTACCTAGTGTTGATTATCATTACCTAACTCATTTATTAGTCATACTAATCAAATTTGAAATTACTTTTCTATAGTTTTATGAAGAAGATAAATTGTCGAGCTCGTGACGGTCCTACATGGAAATCACCAATGGTAATGCCACATGATATTGTGATTTAAGTAATAAAAAATGCGTAAGATTTTGATAATTTGTTAAGCATGTTTGATTCATGTACTTTGTTCCTATGCTAGTGCGCACAACAAGATAACGGAGTTGATTATGGCCTATACGTGATGAGATTCATGTTTGACATAGTGCGTCATTGTACGGACACACTACAGCTTGATAAGGTATGCCATTGACTTAGTTAATTTGCTCTTTTCATGTGATTTGATAAGAAATGTAGGAAATAGGCATCCTAGAAGTCATATAGGCCTTATTTAGGCAATTTTGGATCAAAATGTGTCCTAAAACCCTTGAATTGCACTTTTCATGTGATTTCAAACCTTAGCCGCCTATAACTAAGTAATATTGACATGTTATGAGAAAGAATGAGTTGATTTGATAAGAAATGTAATAAATAGGCATCCTAATAGTCATATAAGCCTTATTTAGGCCATTTTGCATCAAAATGCGTCCTAAAACCCTTGAATTGCTCTTTTCATGTGACTTCGTGCCTTATCCGCCTATAACTAAGTAATAATGACATGTTATGAGAAAGAATGAGTTGATTTGATAAGAAATGTAGGAAATAGGCATCCTAATAGTCATATAGGCCTTATTTGGGCCATTTTGCATCAAAATGCGTCCTAAAACCCTTGAATTGCTCTTTTCATGTGATTCCTAAGTAATATTGACATGTTATGAGAAATAATGAGTTCATTTGATAAGAAATACAGAAAATAGGCGAAGCAATAGTCATATAGGCCTTATTTGGGCCATTTTGGATCAAAATGCGTCTTAAAACTCTTGAATTGCTCTTTTCATGTGATTTCAAGCCTTAGCCGCCTATAACTAAGTCATATTGACATGTTATGAGAAAGAATGAGTTGATTTGATAAGAAATGTGGGAAATAGGCGAAGTAGTAGTCATATAGGCCTTATATGGGCCATTTTGGATCAAAATGCGTTCTAAAACCCTTGAATTGCTCTTTTCATGTGATTTCAAGCCTTAGCCGCCTATAACTAAGTAATATTAGGAAATAGGCGAAGTAGTAGTCATATAGGCCTTATATGGGCCATTTTGGATCAAAATGCGTTCTAAAACCCTTGAATTGCTCTTTTCATGTGATTTCAAGCCTTAGCCGCCTATAACTAAGTAATATTGACATGTTATGAGAAAGAATGAGTTCATTTGATAAGAAATGTAGAAAATAGGCATCCTAGTAGTCATATAGGCCTTATTTGGGCCATTTTGGATCAAAATGCGTCCTAAAACCCTTGAATTGCTCTTTTCATGTGATTTTAAGCCTTAGCCGCTTATAACTAAGTAATATTGACATGTTATGAGAAAGAATGAGTTCATTTGATAAGAAATGTAGAAAATAAGCAAAGTAGTAGTCATATAGGCCTAAGTAATAAATTTTTGCCTAAGTGAACTTGTAAATGTATTTTTACATGCATAACCTAAGTATTTAATACTAACATACTTTTTGTTTATTCCAAGTTTTTCAAGGTACAAAAGGGAGGTCTGTTGACTAGTAAGAAACTTAATGAAGTTCGAGACATGTTGGCGTCTTTCATCACCTTTAATTTGTAATGTCATTTTTATTGGAATTTGTATTTTGTTAACTTTTAAACTACATTCTTAATTAGTATTGTTTGTAAATAGGACACTTTTTTTTTTGAGTAATTGTAAATATGACCCTTCAGTGTATTGCATTTGGGATTATTAATTAATATCTATGTATTGTTGTTATTATTTCAAGTTAGAAATTATTATTATTATTATTATTGTTATTTTTAACATTATAATAATAATAATAATTATAATTATTATTGTTATTATAATATCTTATAATAATGGTAGAATTAATGCAAGATGTACAGGTTATTATTATTATTATTATTATTATTATTATTATTATTATTATTATTATTATTATTATTATTATTATTATTTATTGCCGAAAAACCAAAAAAAAACAATTAAAGGCACCGACTAAGGCTTGAAACCGGTGCCAATTATATGTAAAAAAAAAAAAAAAAAAAGCGCCAGGTACTTTTAGCACCGATTAACCGGTGCCAAATAGTGTAATTCGCACCGGTTAACCGGTGCTAAATCTTAGAATTGGCATCGATTTTGAACTAGTACGAAATCTTTAGGTTTTTGACATCCCTCAAATTTGGACCGGTTCAAAACTGGTGCTAAATGGGGGTTTGAAACAGTGATGATTACAATTTTTCGCCTAGTGATTGATTCGTCAATCACTTGATAAAATCGTTCCATACACATCGCAAACAAATAAAGAGAGGGGAGGTCTCCTTGCTGAATTCCCCTACTCGGTTTAAGCTCTTAGATGGTTCACCATTCTAAAGTACTTGAAGAGAGGCCAAGGAAATGCATTCCATGATCACATCGATCATCAAAATTGGCAAATTCTTTTGCACCATAGCATCCCTTATGAAGGACCATCTCAACCTATTATAGGCTTTTTCGAAGTCTATTTTAATGGCCATGTAACCCTTCTCACCCTGCTTTCTTCACATCGTGTGAATCACCTCTTGAACAATGACTATATTATCAGTGATTTGACACCCTGGAGAGAAGCTTGCTTGAGTATTAGAGATAAGCCGAGGAAGAACTGGTTTCAAGCGGTTGACAATGACTTTTGTGACCACTTTATAGGCAACATTGCATAGTCCTATTGGTCGAAATTGTCAGGCAAGTTCCGGATTGTCAATCTTTGGAATGAGGGTAATAAGGGCATCATTAAGGCGCTCTGGGATCCCCTTGCCTTCCAAGATAGGAATGATAGTGTTGTATACTGTATTTGCAATGATTTCTTAGGTCTTTTGGTAGAATAGGGCCTGGAAATCGTCTAGTGCTTTAAGCGCCCCCATATCCTTGATTACTGACTCAATTTCCACCTTGAATAAGGCTTAACAAAACTATTCCAGTCATGACTTGAACATTTCAGGGAACACATCTTACGGCACATCGAATACATTCGGACCCTGGCTCCCTCCTATGTGAATAGCTTTGAGAAGCATTGCACAATATGGTCCTGGATCTCTAGTTTATTAGTTAGCCAATCATTGTTATTATTCTTGATAGCACCAATTTTATTTTTCCACATTCGAATTATTGTAATAAGGTGGAAAAACGAAGTGTTTCGATCTCCATCTTGCAGCCAGTTGATCCTAGATTTTTGGTACCATATCGTTTCTTAACGGTCTAGAACCTCATCCAAGTCTCTTCGAAGGCGAGCCTCTAGCTTAGTGAGGCCTCTGTCAATACTCTCCGGCCTCCGCTAGTTTCTTTTGGACTCCTGCAATTTGAGCAAGAAATGTCCTTTTTTGTTTAAAGACATTGCCGAAAATATCTCTATTCCAACATTGCAAATACGAGGACAGTTTAGCTAGAGAGGGCATAAGCTCTCACTTATCATCCCATTTTTCTGCCACAAAATTTTTAAAATTTTCGTGAGAGAGCCACGCCGCTTGAAATCGAAAGGGTCCATGAAGAGATTGCAGGGGAACAAAGCCATTGGGAGAGATGAATATCGGGCAGTGGTCCGAATGAACCGCAGGAAGATGTTTCATTTTTGCTTGATCAAATCTTGTCGCCCACTAATGATCATTGCACAAAGCCCTGTCGAGCCTCGCACTTCTTCTTGTGGCTTCACTAAGTCCTCTGGCCCAGGTGTGAGAAGCCCCTGTGAACTCAAATTCAATCAAGTCCAAATCATCAATCCAATTGTTCAGCGCTTGAGAATTATTCCCTCCTCTACGCATATCACTAAAAAGAAGGTTAGATTTCTCAATGGTTGGTGGTGCTTTACTCACTACCATTTGCCCCACACTATTCGCTAAAGGCTCCATCTGAGGATTTTCATCCACTTCCATCAAAGAATTCTTCTCCTTTTCATGAGATTCATTGTTGAAAATGAGATGCGTAATTTTCCATTTTGGCTTTTTGTTTGATCGATCTAATTGATCGTTTTCTTCTCTCGATTTGCCATCTCCCCTCAGGAGGACCAAACTTTAATAAAGCATAAGCAAATGAAAGCATACATGAATGCGAAGGTAGATGTAAATGATTAAAGTTGTAGTAAGAGCATTGTATCCTTTGCTACGTAGATGAGTGTCTTAGACTCCCATATATGTAAGGAATGCCAAAAGGATCGGGATTAATAAAGAAAGAGTTGACAACTAAATTTAAAAAAAAAAAGGACGTAAATATGATCTAAACAATTGAGATCAGTTAGATCAACACAATCACAACACTATCACCAAATAGCATTCTTATTTGGTGGTATCGTGAGGAAATCAGTAAATAGTTTATGCAACGTAATAGAATATATGACCCAGACGATTTAGATCATTTTAGCACAAGACAATTGCATATAACAAATAGCTCTAGAGTTAGTTCTTCTTGGGAGGTGTCGCGAGGAAATTAGTAAACCATTTTGCAGACTTCTTTGGGTATCTTTTGAGGTTGTCATAGTAATCTGTGTAGTTGAGACCAAAGCGAACATCATATCCTGCTCCCACTTCCATATTGTCCATAAGTGACCATACAAAGTATCCTTCCACATTTGCCCCTTGCCTGCACTCAAACACATAAGTAATATTTAGTCATTGGTTTCGAATTTTGTTTGCATGTCACAAAAATTTTATACCTATTAAATCAAACTAATATTTATGTTAAAAACAATAGAAGAGAAAGTGTTTTTCTCACCTTCTAGCCTCACGAATTGCAGTAAGGTGATCTTCGACGTGTGAGATTCTCTTGTCATCAAAAAATGCAGCTTTCAACTCTTTAACTTTCCCTTCTTTGATTAAATCCATAACAGAACCTGTGATTATAGGCTTTGCAGGAATACCTGTAAGTGATATATAAAAGAAACGTGTCATCTAATTTGGAACGGAGGAAGTATTAATTTATTCATAAGAATTACCCTATCTAGTTGGAGTTCGAATGGGTATTATTGTGGTAATTCTCTATTTCTCATTGTGAGAAACAAGTTTTGTTTCTCATTGTGAGAAACAAGTTGGGATATGTGTCAAGATATGGGGCTCCCACTCATGACCACCGGTGAAAAACATCACATTATTTTCCAAAGTGTCATTATGAGAAACAAAAGTGTTTCTCATAATGAAAAACTGGGGCTCCCTCTATTATTGTACCAATAACACTTAATTAATTGGATAAACAAGGAAAAAGTACGAGTCAGCTAATAAACTCACCATTTTCAGTTACAAAAAGTTCAGGCTTATCATATTTTTCTGTGATGTAAAGAAGCAAATTCCTTAGACCGGCAGGATTTACATAGATATCAGCTTGTCCTTCCGCTTGCTCTCCAATTATAGTTCCATTCGCATTCACTGCATTAAGAGTAACATGACAATGACTTTAATACAAGAAATTTTTTTAATGTTCGAAGAGACAAGAGGCCGACATAGCAAATGTTGAAGGATGTACCTAATTCTTCAATGTACTCGACGATGATCTTCCCTTTTTGTGGATCTACCTTGGTGGTTTGCTTGGCAAATCTCGCTGTGTAATAATTGACACCAATGAAATCACATGACTTTTTCACCATCTTCCTTTGCTCCTTGGTAAATTTAGGGAGTTCTCTTATAGAATCTTTCATAGACTCTGGATAATCACCATAAACAAATGGGTCCATGTACCTTAATCCATTATTAAAGAAGAATATATATTAGAGACTATATTACTTTCAATAAAAAATAAAAATAAAAAATAAAAAATAAAAACAAAAACAAAAAAAAAAAACAGAACATTAATTCTAGATATGGTAGCATTATGTATCATTTTCTAACAAATTTGACCATTCTATTACAGTGATTTTGCCCAAATTCGACCCTATTTGTAGTACTATGATTTGCTTCCCTTGCTGCTACCCCAAAAAAAAAAAAAAAAAAAAAAAATTAAAGTACTAACTTTGCATTTACTATCTTTTGTTTTTTGGTTTTTAGTGAGCCACAAGGACGGGGTGATGAGAATCAATCCCAAAATCTCTTGAAATTGGGAAGGAAGCTCTAACCACTTGAGCTATCTCTCATACGATCACTCTCTACTAATATTATATGGAAATGTTATACTACATATAAATTTACTATCCTTTGTGGATTAATAATCATAATTTCTTCTTTGGCACGAGGCTCATTATTTCACATACATCTACCAATGGGTTTCGAGCTTAATTTTAGTACCTTCTTACAAACTTGATATTATATAGAAATGTTTATCCCACATATTTCCTCCGTCTTTTTTATTTAATCCGTTTTGACTTTTACACTATTCACCACCCATCCTTTGACCGTGTTTTGTAAATAATATGTAAGGAAAAACATATTCATATTGGGTCTTTTTGAATTCGTCTAAATAAGTACTATCATAATATATAACTTTTATATTTTTTTACTTGTGTGGAATTAAAGTTATTGATCGTTAAAGTTTTGCATTGACAAGTGTGATAAAAGAAATAGGTCAAGTAAAAAAGAACAGAGGAAGTACATATATTTACATTATGGTGTTTTATATGAAGCTTACCATCCCAGCATGAAGTCCAATTGTCTGTGAGCAGCAACCACGTCCGTAGGATTGGTTGAGTGAGGCTCATACCATTTACATGGCAGTGAAATTCCAATTTTGCCTTTTTGATTTTTCTACTCAAACAAGACAATTAAACGAAATTAGAGATATACGAAGAAAGGAAAGATATGACACATGAAGAGGCAAATTAAAAATTACAAGTACCTGGTACTTGTCGTGGTAGATTTGAGCAGCAGCAGCATGAGCTAAGATAATATTGTGAGTGGCAACAAATGGGCCAAGATCACTCTTACCATCATTAGGCAACCCCATTTTGTACCCAAATGACCCAAACACATAGGGTTCATTAATTGTTGACCAATACTTTACTCGATCACCAAAGTTGGCAAAACATATGTCAGCATACTTCTTGAAGTCCTCTCTGTTTATATGATATGACGTAACATGTTAGTAGTAAATAAGATGGTCAGGTGGATTTAAAAGAAAGGATTACTATCTCAACTTCGAATCAATAGTCACGTTGTTAGTATAATTTAAACATGTGGCGTGACAAGTAAATCCAAGTGAAGAGAGTAATATGGCAAACACGCTATCAACATATTTTATGTTTAATCTGATCAATATAGAATGAGAACTTACACAATCTGACTGTTCATAAAGCCATGATACTTGTTCTGAAGAGCAACAGGAAGATCGAAGTGGAATAATGTAATAACAGGCTCGATTCCTTTGGATATTAAAAAATATTGTATAAGTTAGATACTCTATACTTCATAATGACTTAATGAGTATTGATAAAAATTCGTAGCATAAGGTATATCGCTAAAGAGATTGGTCAATAGTCAATACATCTTTTTTATTTGAAAAAACTGGTCTAACCTAGACATCTATGTTCGATGAATCAATCAATGGAAAATATTTTAAATAAATAACTATATAGAGGTCATGATACCTTCTGCTATCAAAGCATCAATGAATTTGTTGTAGAAATCAATTCCCTCTTGGTTGATTGGACCATCTTCTTCTGAACCCTCTGAATATAATTAAACAGAATTTTTTATTTAATTATATTTAATAGGTATTTAATACTTCAAATAATATATGGTTGTACATTTTTAATTATATGTTCTTCGTATAGCAACGATAAAAAGAAGATAATTACATGTTCTTCGTATAAAAGTTACCAACAATATAAAAAGGTAAAAAGGAAAAGTACGTACTAGGGAGTATCCTGGGCCAAGCGATGGAAAAACGATAAGAATTCATACCCATTGCTTTTAATAGCTTTACATCTTCCTGCAATGTACAAATACAAAAATAATAAGGCAAAATACACATAAGAGTGTTATATTAGGGGGGTGAACAAACCGGATACCCGGTTAAAATTTTAAGAACCGGACTCGAAATCAGTGGCAATTTCAGTATGGATTTAGTGGGTTCAGCTAAACCCATATTGGATCCAGAAAAAATCTAATCAGTTTAATAAAAAAAAAAAAAAAAAACATATTAAATACTGGTTATATACATAACTATGCGCCATATTGTATTGCTAAAATATGAAGACACGATGAGCTCAATTGTAATTAAAATTGTTTTTTTTTTTTTTTTGTCAAATTAACATGTGCACACCCAAATTATTAATTTTAACTTGTATTTTACATTATGTTACTTGATTTCATTATATGCGTTTGGACTCTGAATCCATATCAAAAAATTTCTAGAAGTGTCATTGCTCGGAATTAATTGGAACCGGTTCCTAAATTTCGGAATTGGAATTGAAACTACTTCAACCGGTCCTAAAATTTAGGAATTGGAACCGCTGGGCACCAGTTTCGGTTTCGAGTACCCACTTATGTACATAATTATTAAAATTTAATACAAATTATAATAATTATTTTGATCCATTTTCATTTTTAGCCTTTAATACTTATATTTATATATGCATGAAGCTATTTTATTTATGTTAGGTATTAATAATATATTTTTTTATTTTACTGATTATATACATTCAAAATATATTTGTTTTTTTAAATATATTTAGTTTAATAATATTGGGTAACTGGATACCTAACCGATTCCAAGGTCCAATAAATTAAGAATTGGAATTGAAACCGGCTGCAACCGGTTCCTTAATTTATTACTTGGATTTGGAACCACCGGTTCGAATTCCGATTTCGGACCCGTCAATTCCTAACCGATTCCAGTTTCAATTCCAATTTCGGGTACCTGAAATTTGTGCTCACCCTACTGTTAATTATCATTTATATCAAAACAATTGTGGGCTATTTTGGTAATCACAGTTAATTTATGTTAAACAAATTTCTTTACCCGACAATATATATACGTAGTAGTATACATAGTATAACTTTTTTTATTAACAAATTTAGCTCCAAAAAATTTAACTCCATATTAAATTAACAGATAAGATGAAACATTTCAAAATGTATTTATAAAAAAAGGTAGTTTCTACGTTATAACCCTCTAACTTTTCGTTTTCTACGATGTGCCCCCTATTTTTGAAAAATCCACACTATAACCCAAAATACATTTAGTTCTACACGGTAACATTTCTGTTATCCCGCCGTTAACAAATTTCGTTAGTGGGGCCCACTCTCCAATTATTAATATTTTTTTATTGATTTGCGTGTTGGAAATTGTTTAGTTAAAGGTTTTGGGGGCTATTTTGGTTCTTAAGAGTCCAAATTGAGCTCAGATTTGGCAAAACAAACGTAAATGTCTCGTTTTGCGTATTAAATACGTAAACACGCAAATTGAGACAATTCTTAATACGCAAAAAGAGGCGTTTACATTTTTTTTTCCCCAAAATTTGAGCTCAATTTGGATTTTTAAGGGCCAAAGTAGCCCCCAAAACCTTTAACGGAACAATTTTCAACACGCAAATCGATAAAAAAATATTATTAAGTGGAGAGTGGGCCCCATTAACGAAATTGGTTAACGGCGAGATAACGGCAAGGTAACTGTATAGGAATTAAATGTATTTTGGGGTTATAGTGTGGATTTCTCAAAAAGGGGGACATATTGTAGAAAACAGAAAGTGGTGGAAGTTGTTAGCTTAATGGTGTGTAGACGCCATTGGAAAGGAGGGGGCAATGGGTGTCTTATGGTGGGTGGGGAAAGAGGAGAGTAGGAGGAGATAAGAAATTACGTATTATAAAAACGGCATATATAGGATACGGTTATCAAAAATAATACTACGTAATTATTATTTTATTACCAAAATATAAAATGCAAATTCAAAAGGTTATCAATAAGAAGATTTCCCTTAAAAAAATTCACTAAAAGAAAAAGGCTAAATAATCGCCAGGGGACGTTAGATGAGGCAACTAAGAGTATAAATATTAAATTAATAAATAATAATTACACTGATTAACACGTGTTTTTGACATGCATTTCAAACTTAATATTATTTTAAAAAATATTTTAAATTTGTTATCTAATGGCTTAGGACGCTTGTAAGTAAGATCTTAATTGAAATATAGGTACGGTGAACATTATTCTTGTACTAAGATTAACACACTGATTAGGTTGCTATTGTTACTTGTTCAAGTAATTGTATATATATATATATATATATATATATATATATATATATATATATATATAGAAAGTGTATGTAAACACACACAATCAATAATTAATTAAATACGCATACTTGATTTCTATATATTAACTAGTGTTTGGCCTTGAGTGATACCCCAAGTCATCAATATTAAGGTGTGTTCTATTCATCTAATTTTTACTTATTTGAACTTATCTTATCTTATCTGAACTTATCTAAACTTACCTGAACATATTAGACCTTATCAAAACTTATTTTAGTTGTGATTTGTTCTTGGGCAACCCTTATTAGAACTTATTTTTTCCTGAACTGAACTTATCTGAACTTAACTGAACTTATTATACCTTAAATAAGTGAAAATAAGGTAAACAAAACATGTCATGATTCAAATCAAATATTTATATTTAAGTTTTGAATAATAATATGCAAAATCATAATAGTTCACTGATTAACACTTGAAATTTTTAATTTGAGAATGAGGGTTCAAATCTTGTATAATCTTTACTTTTTAAGCAAATGAAATAAAACACTCGAATAAATGAGGGTACAATTTAGGAACACTTTTAACTATATGATATAGATATCACAAATTTATTAGTTGATTATAGAGTTGGGCATCGTGCATTGCTGAGCCGTGCCTTGCCGTGCCTGGTGGTGGCTCATGTCGTGCCATGTCGTGCTTGCATCCTGGCGAGTCATGCCATGTCGGGCCACCAATTGGCACATCCCAGCCCACGGCACGGCACGACCCACGCGTCTAGCGTGCTGTGTCGGGCCGAGCATCGGGCAGCCCATAATTTTTTTTTTTTAAAAAATCGATATATATATATATATATATATATATATATATATATATATATATATATATATATATATATTGAACAACTTTTAAAATCGATATATTATTTAAATAATTTTATTAATTTATGTTTATGTTTTTAACTATTATATTATTATAGTTTTTTTTATTATTCTTATTTTTATTATTATAGTTCTTTATTATTATTTTTGTTATGTTATTATTATAATTAATTTTATTTTTTATTATTATAAATCTTTATTATTATTATTATTTAGCAAAAAGCAACAATACATATAATTAAAAAATTTACGAGTGCAATAACACAAGAATTAATGAATAACTTATTTTATTATACTCGATACGATAATTGAGAGAATTAGAGAATTAAAGATTATAAATGATTAGAGAATAGATGAATTGATGAATGAATTGTGGAAATAATTGGAAGATGAAGTGATGTATTTATAGGGAATTAGATTAAGGTAGCCGTTAGGATAGAAACTAGCCGATACAAATACAAAAAATTGGTCGTGTATTGTTGTTGCTGCATTCTAACCGTTGGAATATAGTCGTTTGTAGTGGTCCGTGCCGTGTTGGCAAACCGTCCCGCAGGCCAAAGTGTCGTGCCGCCCGTTGTCTCGTGCCGAAAATTCGCAAATGTGTTCACGGCACGGCCCGCAGCCCCAACTTCAGTCTTCGTACCGGGCCGGGTCATGCCACCACTGTGCCATGCTCGTGGCGTTCGCGGGCCAGCACGACCCATGCCCACCTCTAGTTGCTTATGTGATCATTTCACATAAAAGCTAGGTAATTGATTGAGTAATGAGTGTTACACTAATAAGTGTGGTTATCCTTACAAACAAGTAGATTATTCAGTTACTAGCAAAAACAAATGAAGATGGGTTTCACTCAAATAAACAAATGGGTAAAAATTTTCTAATTAATTGATAATACTTATTATAATACTAAGGTTAATTACTAAAATAAATATTTTTTTATAAAAAAAAAAACAAAAAAAACAACACTGATGTAAATTTATTACTCTTATAGGCAGGCTTCAAAAAAAAAAAAATTACTCTTATAGGCAAAATAAGATTACCCTTATGAGCTGAGTAATGAGATTACCCATTCATGAATTAGAATTACTCTTATAATTAAAGATTCTTATGACTAATATTAATATTAGTTGCTAAGTATGTTTTTTTTTCTCATATATTACAATCAAATGGATTTATTTAATTAATTTTAGTTGCTAAGAATATCTGGGGTTCGTTGGACTTTTTTCCACTATCATGTATTAGCTTTGACCATAATTTCTTACTAACATAATAAAAATATATCTTATCATAAAATATATTTTTAGATAGTTATTAATATAAAGTTTCATAATTAAATTTTTAAAATAACTTTCATTAATATTTAATTATATAAAAATAAAGTCAAACTAGTCTATTAGTATGTGTGCAATGTTGACTTTGTCAGATGTTGTGGGACGGAGGGAGTAGTACGAAATAGAAAACATCTTTACGTTACTTCATATATTGCATCAAATTAACTTTAACACAGAAATCTATAACTATATATTAAGGACGAAACTAGGAATTATACGTTTCATTTCTTGGTTAAAAATTTTCCCGCCAAAATATATATATATATATATATATATTTGCCAAAGTTTGTTAGAAAATATTTAATAGTATGAAATAATATTTCCCTTCCTATTTGGTGATTTTATTCCATTTATACACATTCATCCAAAATATTTTTTTTATTTAATATTATACAATAATATTTTCCTATATATAACGTTGTGACGTAATCCGTGATTATTTTTTATTAGTTGTTCATGTAAGACGATGTTGATTTCACCTTATTTTTGTTGAACTAAAATTATTTTTTCCAAACTAAAATTATTTTTGTTAAACTTATATTATTTTTACTAAATCGAAATTATATTTTCAGAACTAAAACTAATTATACTAAACTGAAATTATTTTTGCTGATTCTCTATTATATTTCTTCTTTGAAATTACTTTTTTTTTTTTACTGAATTGAAATTAATTTTACTAAACTGCAATTGTTTTTTCTGAATATTATTTTTGTAAGGTGAAGTGAACAGAGCCTAATACTCCCAATATTTTCTTTAATATGATATAATTTTATTTTTATTTTGTAATCACAAATTTTTTATCATATTTTGCTATTAGATTTATAAAATGAAAACTAATGATAAATACTAAAAATTACGACACTGTAACTAACCTTGTTATATTATAATTGACCGCAAACAAAATATTCCAAAAAAAAAAAAAATTAAAAACTAAATATAAAATTACCAAGTACATATTGTAAGAATCCACTCCTTTCCTTCCTTGGTCTGCTTGAATCATAAAGTCCCACGTGCTTTGTCCTCTTCCACCTTCAGTGCCTGATCCCTCGGTCTATTACGAAAAAAAAAAAAAAAATTGCTAACGTTTTACAGGATAATAATCTTATTAAAAAAATTAAATAAAAAGAAAAACATAAATTAAAAATTTACTAAGTGTTTTGTGTGCGAGGGTCACACTATATGACTGCTTGTGAAAACACAAATTAAAGTAAGTCATATTACACTGATCGATTAACCCATGTAATACGGGTCGAGTAACCCCTAAAACACTGATCAAGTAATCCCTATTACACAAACGAATTAACCCATGTAACATTAACCGAGTAACCCATATAACACCAATGAATTAATCTCCATGAGTTAGCCATACAGTATGACTAACCACATATAAAAATTTGTACAAAAATGTAATGAGATTTGACGATTCGTTGCTTCAACTCCAAAAATAAATAAATAAAAAAAGTCAAAGATTGCTCGAAGCTAACAGGAAACAACTTGTTCAACTAGCTCTTTAAAATACGGAGTAATAAAAATGTACAAGTACATATTTCGTTAATTTCAGAAATTATTGTAACGTTAATTTAATGATTTTTTTTTTTTGACACCTAATTTAATGAAATTTTAAACAATACTACTATTTTCAAACTTTCAATGTATAGCGGGAGGAAAAACATGACTAGTTTCTTTGCAATGTTGAAAATTAGGGTGTATCCGTGTTAACAAACGGGATATACATACGATTATATGTAGATGTATATCTAGAAAGAAAAAAATAGTAGAAGTGAAAGCTATAGAAAAGTTTTTTTGTTTTTTTTTTTTGTTGAGATGTGGAAGTAATTTAAAGGTTATTGCAAAAAATAAAAAATAAATAAAAAAATAAATAAATAAAAGAGGAAGTGCTTAGATTTTGAGAATTGGGGATTTGGAGTGTTGTAGTTGAATATTGAAAAACAACTCTTAAATTATATATAAGATATCAATTTTTTTTTCTTTTTTTTTTGTTTGTTATCGTTGTTGTTTAAAGAGCCACAAGGGCGGGTGATGAAAATCAATCCAAATATCTCCTAAAATTAGGAGAGAAACTCTAACCACTTGAGCTATATACCTCACTCTCGCCATGATTTATCCATTTTATAACCATAGCTAGTCATGTTTAGGGTGCCATTTCGGTTTCACCCTATGCTATAATTATAGTTGTTGACAACATTAATAAGAGAAAATGTGTAAATAAATATTTTTAGATTATAAATATCCGCACATCTTACTTAACACTTTTAAGAAAGAGACAATTAACATTAATGACGCCATTTCGATTTCACCCTATTTATGCTATCTATTTTGACCGTATATCACTATTTATAATTTTGTAAACACTAATTATATTATTCAAGTTAATTATTATTTTGTTTGATAAAAAAAAACACAATAAATGAATAGCTAAGATGGTAAGACATGTTAGCATAATACTTGTTGGTCTCGAGTTCAAGTCTTGTTATAAACATTTTTAGCTGTCAAATCTAATACATGTTGTGGAGCTGACATGTCATCTTTATAGTGCTCAAAAGGGTATCACCAAAAAAAAAATGCTAAAAAAGGTGACACGTGACACATATTTTGTTTTAGGAACGCTTTTTCATATATAAATATAGCTTAGATTAGTGTGCGGTCCGGGCGATGCACCGAGTTTAATTTTGAATATCAATAATTATTGTTTGAGCTATAAAATATAAATTATATATATATATATATATTTATATATATATATATATATTAAAAGTGAATAATAATAACTAATAAGCTCTCAAATTGATGTTTTATTTAAAGTACATATTAAGTATATTATAATTGAACATAAAACAAAATTAAACATAATTAAAAGATAGCAAAAAAGTAATAATTTTACTTAATTTCTTGTTAGTCTTGTGTTCAACACTTCAACCCTTGTGATAAACATTTTTATTTTCATTAAAACATATTTATAGTAAATTGGATGGTGTCGCTACGACTATATGGTAAATTTAATTTCTAATACACGTGAAAGGTGCCATGTGGCACATAATATGTATTAGGATCACTTTTTATTTAATAAATAAAAGTATAGATTAACAAAGGTAAATGATTAAGCCAACGAGTGCTCTCCGAGGTGTTAGATAAATAAACTGAAAGTGGAAATATTAATGTAAAATAAACATTTATTACACTGATTAATGTGTAATTTTGACATACATTTCAAACTTAATATTATTTTAGGTAATATATTAAGTAGCAAGATCTATTATTTAAAAGCTAAGTGTGGGAAGGGTAAGATCTTAGTTAAAATTTTGAAAAGTTTATCCATTTATATTCAATGTTTAATTCCTCAAAAAAGCATCAATGGAGACAATGTTGAAAAAAAAAAAAGAAATAAAAACAGAAAAACCAAAAACAAAAATCTTGAATAGTGTTATGACGTGAAGTGAGTTTAATTTGACTTTTAGGAACGAACGAATATACTACGATAAGTGAGGCTGAGAGAGAAAAAAACCTGAATAGCCGAAGTGGAGGCACCAAATTTGAAGCAAGAAGGGAAGTCCGATCGTTTTAAGTCTTTAGGTGGGTTGATGGACGCTGGTTCAAAACCATCAACCAAGACAACCTCCATTGGTTCCACCTTCTTACTAATCACAGTGAGAGATGAAGGTGAGGCCACCTTATAGTGTGACCCTCTATTAGCAAACACATTTATTTGATTGGTGTAAAACTTGTTAGCCCTTAATAATGTGGGAAACTTAATAAGACTTTGGGATGGTGCAGCACGCGTTGGTGCTACTGAATAAGAAAGGGCCATTTTGTTTAGTGTTTTGTGTAAAGAAAATGAGTGTATTTTTGACTTTTTGTGTGGTTAGGAGATTAAGAAAGGTTTCTATTTATAGCCAAAATTGGTCAATTTAAATAATAGGATGAGTTGTTATTGGGAAATGATCTAATTGCAATCACGTGTTTTCATGTTCCATTTGGTTAACACGATACACATTCATTAATTACATTTATCTTAGCTAGATTTGTGGGTCGATTATGTATTTTCTTGACTTTTTATAATGCAAATTGCTCCATATAACTGTTTCTATTCCACCTAATTCAACGCTAAATAATTTTACCCAAGATAAGGTTGTCAATTGTCATAAACTTATTTTTTTTTTTAAAAAAAAAATCAATTCATTAATAGAAAATCATCCGACATCTAAAAAGGAACCTACTATCTTAAGGAAAACGATTTGAATGAAATAGTGAAAGTACTTCCTTTATTTTTTTTTTTTTATTTTACTCACTTGTCTATTATACGATTTTTAATTTATGTATTTGATCAATGAACGATTTCCCTTAATATTGTTAAAATAGAAATTAATTCCCATTATGCTTCGTTTTAAAAACAAATTCCCAAAGTAGTGTCCACGTAGGATTGGTTTTTGGTTCAACTTAAAACCGCTAACGGTATTAGCGGTTTTGCAATTTTTGTAAAATAAAGTCAAAGAGACCTGTTTTTATTGAAAGGCGGTCTCTTTGAAGTTATAAGTGTAATTGTCAACGCTCTCTTTTCTTGTTGTGGGCTAAGAATTAACAAGGACACAAAGAGACCTGTCGTATTGAAAGGCGGTCTCTTTGAAATAATTTTCCTGTAGACTATGCCTTGTGAATTAACCAAGGACGCAAAGAGTCCTGTTATTGTTATAGGCGGTCTCTTTTTTAAAACCGCTATTACTATTAGCGGTTTTAAGTTGAACCAAAAGCAAAAAAAAAAAAACGATCCTACGTGGACACTATGTAGAGAATTTATTTTTAAATCAATGTATTATGGGAATTGATTTTTATTTCAACAATATTATGGGAAATCGTTCTTTGATCAATTATATCTTTAAATACTTAATACTCCATCTGTTCGAAAATAATTAACACATTTAACTTTTTTTTTTTTCACTGTACATATATTCACTACTACAAAATGCATATATTAGCGACACTGTGAGCTCGACAGTGTAAGGGGCGTCAGCAGTTTACTATAGTTCGCGTGTTTTCTCGACGCTTATTTAAGTCAAAATAAATTTTCGATTGTTAACAGCGTCGAGAATATACCACCTGCCCTGCTTGTGACAAAATTTGCTTAGCCCGCATCTTCGCATTACATTTTGGGAAATGGGAATAATAGAACCGCCGCTCTAGATACCCTAATTTTCATCAGTTTTTAATTTCATCACTCTCATTTATCCAATTCACCAAAAATGTTAAGAAACTCATGGAATTCGGATTTAGATCTGTTTTTTCATCTTGGCTCTCATACATTGGGATGCGGAATTCGCTTTACTCATCCTCAATTTAAAAAATTTCATTCCTTGGTAATGGTTCATAATTGTAAGGTACTTTTTTTTTTTTTTTTCCTAATTTTCTTTTAGAATTGAGTATTCTAAATCGTTTTTAGAGTTTCGATTTTGAGAATTTTATGATAACAGAAGGTTAATTCATGAAGAACAGAGATTTGTGGGTTTTGTTTATGGTTCTTTTTGTGCTACTGTATTCGATGCAATTGGATTGTACAGTCCACAAATTCACAAAAATAGGAGAGAGAGGTATTGAGCCTAATAATGAGTTTAATTTTGTTGCAATTTTAAGTACTTATTCTAGAATTTCAGAGTCGTAGTTGGGGTTTCAGATTCGTTCCTTAGTTGTTGAGGTAGGGTATTTTCCTCCCTTTACAGATTTGGTCTTCACTTTTTGAGTAAAAAACCACCCAATTCCCCTATAATGTTAATACGTTATCAAATTGGCAACTAGCAGTAGTACGACTATGTTTCACATTATCTTCTTTGTTAATGTTTAAAATAAATACAAATTGGCAAATTGCAAATGAATTAATACTTGTACATTTGAAGTGAATAATTAGTAATGTTTAAGATCTACAATCCCAAGGAGGGGAAATATAAATGGCTTAAAACCCTTAATTGTTTCCTAATTTTGCTGTCCTTATTATGCCGTGTTATTTTGCTAGAGACAGTCTTGAGTTAGAGGACAATGAATCCTTCAGTTTAGAATTTCTCCTTTTTTTTCTTCCTTTATTTTGATTTTATAATTGTTGTGGTTTTTGTGTCAAATTGGGCATTTTGTTTTAATTAAATAATTAGATTTACTTAGATGGAGCAGATTGGTGTGAGTAGTATGTGACTAAACCAATTTAAAACTTTTTTTGTGTGTGAAATTATGTTGCACATTGTTAATTATCTGCGAGGCTTTGTTTTATTATGGTAGGGAGCTCTGTAACTTTATGCTGAATTAATCTCTACCTAAAAGTATTCCAGTGAGACAGCTTGAGTATGTACTGTTATTTCCAAAATTAAAATTCAATGCAAGATTAAATATTAAACCCCTTTTGACATCTAAAAGACTGAAACCTCAAGTATTTTGGTCATCAAACACTTGTTATTTATGAGAAATCAAACCATGTCATTTGGGTAGCAACATTGTTTCAAGAGTGACAAGTGTCTTATTCCTGTTTTGACATTTCATTATGGTACTAAAATTTTCTACTTTCAGCTCTGAAAAGGATGAACAAGCTTTGTATGAGGCCAAAGAGGAGGCTGCCAATGCTAGCATAGAATTTGTGAAACAACCTGATATGTTTCAGGTTTATATTTCATTTCAGTTGTATTTTATTCTAATATTATGTTTTAGTTATATTTACACCATTATTTAAATATGGGGCTTAGGTGGGGTGGCTGAAGTGTAAATTGAGGTTATGGATTTATTTTTCTCACAATTTGCACTGTTTTGATAGCTTACTCTAGTGTAGTTTTGAGTTATTGTAATGAATACTATATACGTCACTTTAATTGCCTTGGATGGTGATATGCTTTGAAATGTTATATTTTTTTATTTTTTTTTATTTTTTTTTTTTAGTATTGCTGGTTTCTTATGCTTGAAACCCTTATTCTGAAAGAAGGGGCTGACTTCTAGTTATTGCCTTAAAGTGTTAGGTCTGGTTTCTTTTTGAATCATCGTAATTTATATTTATATTACTATTTCGATTTCTTTCATCAGTATATATAATTGAATGCATGATTTTGTGTGTTAGTGTGATTTGCTGGACATGCCATCAATATTACAACTTGAGAGTTGAGAACGACATTGAATACTCACTGCCGTATCAACTCCTAAAGATTTTCCTAATTCAGAGGCATCGAATTGCAGGCGGCAAACTCTACCTTGCTGAAGAACTATGGTAAATTGCATTTCTTGTACATTAGATCTTTGTGCTGTTTAATTAGGAGCTTTACCTTTTTATGAAACAGATTTTAGTATTAAATAATATTAGGAAGAGAGAGCATAAGTGGAGTATATATCAAGCTTCCTTCTGTGACTCAATTGACATCCCTTGTTTCTTCTAAACACCAATAGCATCAAAATAAGAGATAAAAGTTGTAGGAACACTGATGTTCTTGTTGCCTCAGGATGCTGACCACACTGCTGTCGATCCACATTGCTACTGTTGGTGCTCTGTAATGTTGCTACTACTGTTGTTGATCCACGATGCTGCTGATGTCTGTCTCCCTAGGCCACACTAAACCACTAGTTCCTGCCCAAAGATCCAGAAACATCAGAGGATGTGCTGTGAATTCAAGGCCAACAATGATTTATTGGTCACAGTTTGAACTTTGCTTTATACTCTCTTGCAAGCAAATTAAATGGCAGCTAAATTGGAGATTGATTGAAGATTTTTTGTGAAGATATTTTGTGAAGGGACAGCAAATGAACTACATTAGTTGTAATACTAGATTAAATCCCGTGTAATGCACGATTGCTAAATATTTATAACGACAATAAATTTGACCAAAAATAATGGTACATAAAAATTATGAATAGATTCACCAAATATTAAAAAGTATGAAATATAATTTTTAAAATTATTAACACAATTTTTTATATGCGGCCTACTATACCGTGCGACAGGAGTTAACCGAGTTACTCGGTCAGGGGTTACTCGAGTTGTCGGGGTTACTCGAGTTTCTCGGTCAGGGTTTACTCGAGTTGTCGGGGTTATTTGAGTTGACGGGTTTACTCGAGTTACTCGGTCAGGGGTTACTCAAGTTACTCGGTCAAGGGTTACTTGAGTTACTCCTAATCGAGTAACCCCTTAAATAACCCCTGACCGAGTAACCCCTCGAGTAATCTATGATCGAACCTCCCTGATCGAGTAACCCCTCTAGTAACCACTGATTGAGTAACCCCTCAAGTAACCCCTTTAACCCCTCACTGAACCAAAGTAACCCCTGATCAAGTTACCCTTGACTGAACTCCTTAAGTAACCCCTGACCAAACTCCTTAAATAACTCCTAATTGAGCAACTCAAGTAACCCCTGATCGAGTAACTCGAGTAACCCATGACCGAGTAACCCCTAACAGAGTAACTCGAGTAACCCCTAACCGAGTAACTCGAGTAACCCCTGACTGAGTAAACCCCTCAAGTAACCCTTGACCGAGTGATCTCCTCGAGTAATCCATGTCTGAACCCCTCAAGTGACCCTTGATTGAGTAACCCCTGACTGAATAACTCGGGTAACCCCTACCACATGGTGTGACCTACTGTACCAAAAATTTGCTGAATTATAAATATGCAAAAGAATATAATTAAACACATGTTATATTTATAATGGGTTATTTGATATTTAAGGAAGTTTATTTTAGATTTTGTACAAAATAAAAGTCATGATTTAGGACAATTGTACAAACCTTCTTTTTATGTAACAATAAATTTTTATTATATTAAGCAAGTAATTTTGGAGAGAAAAACTTTTAATAATATATTGACAAGTGTCCCTTTAAATTTCGCCTTAATTACTATGTAATT